CAAAAGATGTAATTCGCTTGAGAGGGTATATATGATGATGTGGTTAATTGACATGATATTAATTTAGAATTGTACTTTTATGTTTCTTGAATTGGTAATTACAAATATTAAAGAAAGCAGTAGAGGCCAGCTACGATTTGGAGATGATGATCCAGTCTTCCTCTATTTGACTTAGATTAATCGATCGGGGACGACTTGCGAATGCTATATTATTTTATAATAGGGACAATTTGCTATCCGAATGGGAAGTGTAGAAATTTGTTATAGGTTAGGCTTTGGGGGTTCGGATTTTTTGGGAACTTTTCTTTTATATATAAATTAGCAAAAACCAGTAAATAGAACAGAGAAAAAGAAAGGGTTTCTTGTGACAAGGTCTCTGACCAACCATTCTGACCAACCATTCTTATTATTCTTGGTTTAACGAGGACGACAATAATAACAAACCAGTTTGGCAGTAAATGAAAGACTTCGACTCTCCACCATAACGACGAACTAAATATTGCTTACCATTTTCATATCACAAAATTACATATGGCAGATATGGATCAATTGTAATAGAATTCTCCATTAGAGATGGACCAAAATCTTCATGCAACTAAGACTTTGTAAATTGTCAAATATATAAAATATAACATGCTAAATAATATAAACAATATATAGCATGTATAGTCTCATATAAATTCCACGAACTAATTCTGAAATTATTCCGGTAGGTAATCATGAATTAAGTAAATATATCCATAATGCTATCAAGTATCAGCAGTGCATTAGATCATCTTAAATTGAAATGACCAAGTTATTGTAGCAAAGTTTTCTAACAATTCATGCAATACAAATTCAACCAAGAAAAAAAAAATCTATTAATATGGCTACAATCACGTTCAGTAAGAAACATAAACAATTTCACATTCATCATCAAATATATTCACCCCTCATCCTACAGTGCATATTTATTCATAAGCTTCTTAGTGCACTGTATTCTAAATATTATGATAAAACATTCATAATACAATTTCATATCAAATCCTCGAAACATGAAATAAACCAGCAAGGTATTATAATCCTTTGACAATATACAATCACACATTTATCGTCGCTATTCATTGAATCCGGAATGAATGCAAATGATAAAATAATTTGCTACACCACATACCAAAAATAATCATTGTGATATTTATACCATACTATAACATTAAGCATGCTTCCAATAATTACGAATCACATCATATTTTGAGATTATCCACGGTATAAATGAAGTAATGACTTGAAAATAAATATGTACTTCATGCATTTCATGCCATTAAATAGATCTAGTGCATCTCTTACGAAATCGAAATTGCAAGGGATTACGGCTTACTTGAAACGCTTAAACCCAAATGTTGACGAATATATTGTACTCTTCGAACAAGATTATCATTTCACGAACGAACTCGAATCACAAGTTTTTCAAGCATCCACATGCCAAAAATGGTTCATTTTTCACGAGCACCTGAATCACAAATTCTTCAAGTATCCTAGTCCCACGAAAGATTGTCTTTCCACGATCACGACGAGCATTTCGTGCAGATAACGTGTTGTAAAATCGCCTATTTAATCTAGCTCTTTGATTTGTGATTGTTGAAATACATAAGAACATAATAACAATAATAGAGAGAGAATGAGAGAACACAAGTAAACAAGATCCGTAGAGAGATAATTGTGGGATACTTAGGGGAGGGGAGATTCTGATTTATATAGATGCAAACCACCGGAAGTTACATGGGAGTTCCATGGAAGTTATACCCTACATACATCATGTAGGGAGTTATGGGATAATTGGTAAGTTGAGAATCTCTAGTGGCGTAGTGGAGAGTTATAAACTCCGAGTGGCTTAAGATAGGAATAACCATATTATATATTATTTACAACAGTAAGTTTCTTTTCGTTTATTGTAATTAAGACCTATCAACTAAAAATTCAATATTTGTTCTACATTTTTTTCCTTAGTCCAATTTCATCTAGATTGTGAATTATTAATCTTTTATATTCTAAACGAAGTTTCGAAATTATATTCCGTGTACTCGTACAGGTTAAGCAGTGCACCATCTCGAGTACTATCATAATACAATACTTGTGCATTTAATAAATTGATAACAATCAATACATATTAAAAGCATTTAAAGTTTAAACACCTATTTGCGGATTCTCGTGAGTGATTAAAATCAATGAACTTTATTATTATTGAGATCATTTACATAGCAAAAAATAAAAAAAGGAAAATTAGAATTTTAATTTACTATTCTAACAATGACAAACCTAAATAAAGCATAATTTGCGATTAATTAATTAATCCAAATTAAATAGTGTATGATTGTAATGCAAATGTGTTCTATGTTAATGAGATGAACACCATTTGGAAAAGTTTCTTCTTGTTGTTCTCTCCATTCTGCATAATCTGATAAACAAAACAATACAAGTATTTCAGGCATAAAATACTTCTTCTTAGCAACGAGATATGCGTAAACTCACAAAAAAAAAAAAATGAAGTATTCTTACACCGGTGGCTTTGTCTTACTCAGCGTCCCATGCATTTCTTGCATTGTAAAATTCAACCTGATGCATATTAGTATCATTTAGATTCTATAGTATAACAAAAGGCTCGTTTGGATTTGCAGGATATATGTATAAGGAGTCGGTTAAAGTACTTAAAACCTATTAAATTAATTAGTGACATTTTTGTGCTCAACGGAGATGTTTAGGAAACGAAAGAATGGCCAAGAGCACAATATATATGTGAAAGTGTTGTGGTGAAGGGAAGAACACAAAAGTATTAATGTAGAGATTTTTTACTAAGTCAAGAATATTGAAGTGCTCCAACATATATATATGCTCACCAAATGATTTACTACTGCAGAAAGTTCTCATTTCTTACTAGTTCTTGTTTATATCAATCTGATCTTGAGTACACAATTTATAAAATCGAGTATATACGCAAGTAGTCGGTCCATTCCTAGTTCCACACGTTCTTATGAAATGTAAAAGCTTATCAAAATACTCGAAGGTTTCTTGTCCAACTTTGTTATTCTAAGAGAACTGCTAGAAGATACTGCATATGTCCCAATTTAAATTACGTTTTGAGTTGTTGCGCATATATTAAGAAAATCAATAAATGTACATACATTATAGTAAAAAAAAACCATAGAAAATCACTAAAATATCATTGACATTATTTTTTTCTATAAATAATTAGTTAGGGGTGATAAATGGTAAAATTGAAAATAATGCAATTAATACTTTATTGAAAATCTAGAAATGACAAATAATTTGGGATGATAAAAACTTTAAAAAAGGACAATAATATGGGACAGAGAAAATAACAACAAATTATATATACTTTTGAACAAGGGGATCACTATTTCAAATCCCAACTTTTGCTTACTTGAATACCAAAAAAATAAAAAATAAATAATTAATTGTAAATTACTTTAATACCCTTAATGAAATTAAAACTAAAAAAATATTACAAATACTATTTTTCTTTCTTAAATACCAAATAATCAAAAACTCAAAAAACCATTTCCCTCCTTCTCCACCTCCTTCTTCTCCCTCCCCAAAAACCCTTCTAAAAAATCTTCCTCACAACAAACCCTTCTAAAAAATCTCACAACAAACCCTTCTAAAAAATATCAAAACTAAAGAAATTAAAACCTCACAAAACGTATAAAATTGAGTTATAAGACAATAATATGGTAGTATATATGAAAGGAGAACACATTAAGGTAAGTATCGATGTCTTTTTTGAGCTTCGAAGTCGATTTTGAAGTTTTTTTTTTTTGAAACCCGTCGGCAATTTTCGACACATACAGGTCGATTTTTTGGTCAATTTTCGACACCAACGTGTCGAAAAAGAAAAAAAAAAACAACAAAAACCAAATTTCGACACCTACCTGTCGAAAATGTCCAACTTTCGAGTTTTGTAAC